GAAGCTACAAATTTATGTTGATGACGAGTTATGGGAGTTCAACGTATCCGATGCTGAATTCCAAGCAGCAACAACCGGCAGTAAGTGTTAATCGTGAAAAGTTTTGATTATAACTTTGATCTTCAAGGTTCCTTAAAAAGCAATGTAATATTAATTTCATATGTTTAAAGATTGTGTTTTTTTAAAATAGCATTTACTCTTTGTAAAATGCCTTAAGTAATCAAAGTATTAATTTTCCTATAGATGAAGAAGTTATTAAGTATTTGATAAACCAAGAAAATGAGAGGCGAAGTATGACTGTGATCGACAATCTACCAGCTGATAATCTAAAAGAGTCTACATCTGAAGCAAACAAAGCCAAGGAGTCCTTTGTGTGGCCAGATAAAGCAGTTCTTTTGTTTCTGGAGATCTACCGAGATAAAGAGCCTGAATTTGCTTCAGGTCTGAAACGCCATAACAAAATATGGATGGAAATTGCCAATGAAATGAAGAAGGCAAAATATAATGTCACTGCTGCTCAGTGTCAAAATAAAATGTCTGGACTGAAAAGAACGTACAAAAATATAAGTGACAGCAACAAAAAGTCAGGTAACCATTCAAGTTCTTGGGCCTTTTACTCTGTTATGGAGTCAATATTTGGAGAAAAGGCATGGATAGCACCTGCATCATTAGCCAGCAGCGATGGTCCATCCTCTCCAAGTTCTTCATCTGCTTTATCAGAGATGTCAGCAACAAATGAGTTAAAACCAAAGAAAAGACGAGTGGAATCAATTTTGGAATCTTTCATTAACGAAATCAAAGGAGATAAACAAAAAGAGAAAGAAGAGAGAGAACAGCGAAGAGCAGAAAAGGAAAATAGATGGAAGCAGATTAGACAAGAACAGTTGGAAATNCATAAAGACAGAATGCAACTTCAGGAATCTTTGATTCAAATACTCGGTAAACTTGCTGAACGCAAGTAATCTAAAGAGACTGTTTTATATCTTTTACAATGTCGTTAAGTATTATTGCACAGCTATTATATGATACAAAACTCTGCAAAATAATACATAACGACAGTTAAAAGTAACAGAATAAACTTCTTAGCTTTCACTTTTTGTTTTTGTTACAGACTGCATCACGCTAGTCAAAATATAATTTTATTTAGCTTTTTATATATACGTTTAAAATCCATATCCGATTATTAAATATAATAATATATTTTAACAATATGTATTAAAAATTGAGATAAAAAATTAAAAATTAACTAATCAGAAAAAATTTTAATGTTTTTAAATCTAATAGATCACTTTGTAATCTTTTCTAATCTCAATTTTTAATGCAATGTGATACAGATTTAATACTTTGTTTAATATTTTTTATATATTTTATAAGGCGTAAGAAATGTTTTAAGACTGAAAAGTGTTTTGTAATGTATTACATTTGTTTTTAAATATAATTAATATAATGGTTTTTTTGTAATATCACTGAAAGAGATCCAAAAATGCAATTTGTTTTTGTTTTTTCAATANTTACTGATTTCAATAATTTACTGATCAATGTTTTTTCTCTTTCAAAGATTTGTTCAACATTTGTAATAATATAAAAAAATATGTACTTTTTATAGTATAAATTATATGTAAATTTCTTTTACTACAAAAGAAAAAAGAATATTTATAAAATTCAATATTCTTACTGTATGTATACAATTGCAAATAATTATATGTGCAATAAATAACTAAACATTTATTTTAAATCTTTATTTCTTTTTTGTAAGTACATTGTACAGTATATAAGCAAACAAGATTGTTTCTGATTCATTGGTTAATGAAAATACATAATGAAAATACATATGGAATTTCAATTTTATCTTGAATTGTT